TGCAAGGTGGGGTTTTTAGGTCCCCACATATCCCCCTTTCTATTTTTATTTTAAGGCCGGACTGACTTTATTTCATGGGTTACCCACCTCATAGGCAGCTACCTGAGGAGAGATGGCTATCTCCTTCCTCTAATCTTATGCATTTTGTCTGTCTTAGGTTGTGTCACCTCTGATCAAGACTTGCTTGTCATTGGATCATGCACCTGGCCATGTGCACATCCTGTCTTAGGAGTACTTGCCATGGGACATCTTACCCATCTTTGGCTAAAAATGCATCATGATTAAGGGTAGCCACATGGGTAATGCCAGCCTGTGACTCTTAGTCTCTGCCTAACTCAGTTAGCCAAGCGTGGGCAACTGGAGGGGGTCCTGGGGAAGTCCGTAATCATGAGGAGGTGGGCCGTGGCAGTCCCAAGGGTTGTCTGTCACCGAATTATCTGGTAAAGACACTTAAAGATAAGCATTATCAAGAGAAACAAAGCAAGTCATGGTGCAGGACAAGTTGAAATACTTCTGAGACCATGTTCCTTTTAGCCAATCAGCCAGTTGTCAAAGAGGCTGCAATGCAGTCAAGGAACTGGGTCCTTCACTTCAGATGGATATAAATAAAGAGAGGAGTTTTTCTCATGAACTATTGTCCATGGACTGTCATGTTAGTCAGTCGGATCCTGGCCTACCCACTTAAGGTTTTTCACAGGCACCCATATGGGGTTTGAATCTCCTGTAGGGTAGACACACCCAAAGCCTCGACCCATGGTTAGCAATGGATATGGTCCTTTCCATCGCCCCATAAAGGGGTCTTTCCATCTTACCCGTACCTCAGGTCTCTGCTCCTGTTGTCCCCAATGCTTCTGAAACCAGGATTCCAGCTGATTTTTTTTGAAAATTAAGAACACTAATAGTGAATAAGGGCATACCCAACTGTTGATGGGGGCTTATTCCCCCTTTTTGTTTTTTTAATTGAATTTTTAGGTTTTGATGGTTGCATTCTATAATGGTTTGACCTTGGGGATTGTAGGGAATTCCTGTATTGTGTTGAATTCCCCAAAGTGAGAAGAAATCTTGTAAATTTTTACTCACAAAACATGGTCCATTATCAGTTTTAATTCTTTGGGGCAATCCCAATGTAGCAAAGCACTGGAGAAAATGAGACTGAGCATGTTTAGACTTCTGTATGAGCGGTAGCCCAACAGGCATGTGAGAATGTGCCAATGGATACAAAAATATACTTAAGCTTTCCAAAAGGAACATAGTGTGTGACATCCGTTTGCCACAAGGAATTGGACTTGAGTCCCCAGGGTTTACCCCTGGCTGTTGTAGAGGCAGTACCTGTAGAAAGGGTTGAAAAAACTTACAGGTATGTACAATTTTCTTTAGGTCCTTGATGGGAACTTGAGGAAACCTCTTATGGAGTCCCTGCCAATTTACATTGAATGAGGTTATGTCACCCCTGGGCTTCATTCAGGCCTGCTGACAGGACCTGGATGGAAGCTACCTTGTCTGCCTCTACATTGCCTTGGGATAAAAGCCCAGGCAATCCTTGGTGCCCCCTAAGATGCTGTAAGGAGATAGGAGCTTTTCTCTCTTTAAGGAGTGTACAGGTCTGAATACTGTCAGTAAACAATTGCCATGAGTTCCTTGAATTGAGCTGCTTTTTGGTTTTCTTCATATCTGCCCCAGTCAGTGAAAACATTGTAGGCTTTACTAAGGACTCCCTTGGCCCAGGATTTGGTGAGTGCTGCTGCTGGCAGGGCTGTAGCACTTGGGGGTGGGGTGGTTTCCTGGCCACCCACTGAACTGAAGGGGTGGGGGCCCCTCCCTGAGCCATCTTCCCCCAGGCCTTCTCAGCTGTCCTAGATCTGGTTGTGGCACACCAGATCTTTCTTTTTTTTTTTAAATGCTCCCAGCGGCCATGGCCGCCAGTTGCTGGCCAGGGGGCGGTCCCCACCTGGCTTTCCCGTAAGGCCCTGACTCCTGCCAGTCACTGGCGGGGGGTGGCGGCTCACAAGTGTTAGTTCAAGGTGGGTGGGGTGGGTGGCTTTCGCCGCCAAGCCATGTGCTCCACTCTGCCCTGCCCTTCTGCCCGGGAGGCTCTGAAGCTGGCCAGGGTATGCTGGAGGTGCAGCTTGTTACTTTGGCTGCTTTTGGGTTCACTTCTGTTGCATCTCTGCCTTCTTCCTCAAACCCTTCCCATGATTCCCATGTATCCCCAGTAAAAACATTAGCCCCAAGTAGCCAGGGAGCCAAATGAATTGCCTCTGCCCAAACCTTTTGAGCTACGGGATCTGACAAATCCAATCCCCTGCTTTTAAGCATATCTCTCAGTACTTTAAGCGAGGGGTCTTCAAACTTAAAAATTGCATTACCCATTTTTAGGGTATTGCTTACCCCGAACCTCCTTGATTGGCCCCAATCCATTTTTTCTTCTTCTTACTTCTTTCTTTTCTTCTTTTCACCTTCCTTCGAGCATCATGTTGAGTGCCAGATGCCAGGGGTTTGAACCAGTGACCCCCGGCGAGGTGAGGATTGGGAATGAGTAAGCATGCCGTTCGCCAGCCCACACTGCCCCCATTACCCGGGGACACTCAGACCCAACAGGGAGCCTAGTCAAGCAGGGACTCATTTATTGCAAGTGTTCCAAAGCTTATAAAGGCACCTGGAAATCCCCCCTTCCCCCTGAGGGTTTATCTTAAGGATGGTCACGTGTTGATCATGCACTCCTCAGCAGTGCGGAAGTATTCTTCAGACTTTCAAAGCAAGCCAGGCTCCACCCCCAGTAACTTCCTTTCAGACCTATGCAAGGTGGGGCTTTTAGGTCCCCACACTTTGTATGTTACTTGTTTTTCTTTTGTAGCTTTCAGTATTCTCTTTGTTCTGTAAGTTTAGTGTTTTTACTTTGATATGCCATGGGGAATTTCTTTTCTGCTCATGTCTATTTGGTGTTTTATGTGCTTCTTGTATTTGTATGGGCATGTCTTTCTTTAATTTTGGGAAATTTTCTTCTACAATCCTGTTGAAGATCTGGTCCATACAGTTATCCTGAGATTCTTTTCCTTTCTCTATGCCTCTGATGCATAAATATGGTCTTTTCGTAGTGTCCCGCATTACCTGCATATTCCATTCCTGTGTTTTCTTAAGTTTTTCATAATCTTTGCTTGAGTGGTCCAATTCATCAACTTTATTGTCCAGCCTTGGTATTCTATTTTCCATTTCATTCATTCTATTGGTAAGGCTTTCTTCTGTCTAATTAGCTTATTGAATGTTTCACTTCTTTCTTCATTTCAGTCTGAGTTATCTTCAATATTTCCAACTCTTTTGTGAATTCAGTCAGGCTTATCCATATCTTATTTTAGTTCTTTGATTTGAGTGTTCTTTAAATTCACCGAATTCTTTAATCATGTTTATAATAGCTCTTTTGAATTCTGTGTCCTGGGGTATCTCTAGGGGATTCTCATGGTAGAACTCTTCTATAGAACTGTTGGTGCTTGATGGGGACATATTATTTGGGTTTTTCATGTTATTATTTTTTCATTGTGACTTTGGTCATGTGGATTTCTTTTGTTGTTTGTGATTCTGGTGTGAGACTCAAGCCTTCCTTTATTGAGTTTAAGTCTGTTTCTGTTTGTATAATTGATGTGCCTTTGTTGTTTTCTTATTGGGTATGAAAAGTCAGTTGTTCGAGGCTTCAGGTTCTCTCTTTTGATTAAAAAAATTATTTGTTATTTTTATTTTATGTGTATGGGTGTCTTGCTTGAATGTATGTAAGTGCACCCGTGTTGTGCAATGCCTGTGGAGGATAGAAGAGGCCATTGGATCCCCTGGAACTGGAGCTACGGACAGTTGTTAGCTGCTGTGTGGGTGCTGGGATTTGAACCAGGGTCTTCTGCAAGAACAGCCAGTGTTCTTAACCACTGAGCCATCTCTCTAGCCCCTCTCTTATGATTTTACATTGGAGGGGCCAGATGGCACTAGTCCAGCTACTCAGGAGTTCCCACAGAGACTCAAGTCAAATGAGGATTAGATGCTCTCAGGCTTCCTACTAAGGTCTGGGTCCCTCTAGTGAGCAGGCACAGTAAAATTTTGGAGGCTTGCTAGGTGGAGGTAGGGTTCTGGTGATCTCAGGCATCTTCAAAAATCTGGGCCCCTATTAAAGGGCAGGGAAGCCTAATACTGCAGCAGTGGCAGGGACTGTAGGTGGTCCCAACATAGGGGAATGGACAAGGCACAATTTGGAAACCTCACTGCCTCACAGAGTTAAGATTGTAGTCCAGAGATCTGGGATGCTAAGAGCAAAAGCAGGCTTGTGGTCAAGTCTAGAAGGAGAACAGGATGTGGGGTTCAGGATTGGAGCTTCTCAGGTTGTAAAGGAATCAAGGCACAGTGGGAAGGATCAGAATTACTGGGGAAGAGGCCTCCTCTTTGGAATCCCAGGCAAGTTGTGGTGAGGACAGCCAGGTAGAAGGCTGGTCTCAGGTGTGCAAAGGCAGGTTGGGGGCGGGGACAGCTTATGGAGGTTCTAAGAAACTAGACTGAAGAATTTGAAGATCAAAATCTGCCTTCCCTGACCTTTTATCATTAGCTTCTTAAGTAGAGAATCAGACCAAATAAGAGTTAATGAACAAATGAGTTCATAGTTCAATCTTATTTGCTTGCCTGGCCAGGTGGGTCTTGTCTTTGAGATTCCTTTTTCCCTCTTTATGATCTCTTAGTAAGTATTTTAAAGCTTATTTTATTATCTTTATTTTATGTGTATGAGTGTATTGCCTGTATGTATGTAAGTGCACCCATGTCATGCAATGCCCGTGGAGGTCAGAAGGTGTCAAATTCCTCTGGAACTGGAGTTACAGATGGTTGTTAGCTGCCATGTGGGTGCTGGGAACCAAGCCAGCATCCTTTGCAAGAGCACACAGTGCTCTTAACCACTGAGTCATCTCTCCAGCTTCCCCAATTTTTTTTATTGTGTTTTTGAGGTAGGGTCTCCTTATAGTCCCAGCTGGCCTAGAACTCACTTGACCAGGCTTGCTTCGATTTCACAGAGATCCATATGCCTCTGCCTCCTGAGTACTGGGATTGAAGAGGTGTGTCACCAAGTCTGACCCTGTCATCTCTTTATGTAGCAGAGTGGAGGGTTCACAGACACAAATGTCACAGAGTCTTTCATTCCTTCTCAGTTAGCCTATCAGATGACACCTAGGTTTAAAGGTCAATTCAAACAATTATTAATATGTATATGCAAACTCTTTCCTACAGAACGAAGTACAAATGTGCTCTTATAAAATGCACGATGTATTATTGTGCCCTTATCAGTTATCCCAGATCATCTAAGTATAATTCAGAAAATTACTAGTGTAGTACTAAATCATATTCAACTATGCTTGAAAGAATGTATGCTAGCCTCAGAATGAGAGTTTGAAGGTTAATAAATAGAATTATATTGAAAAAGGGGCAGTTCTAAAAGGAGAAAGAAAAGTTTAATGTAATTATGTGTTTGTATGAGTGTGTAGTGCACAGTAACAGACCCATCATTTTGTGAAAAATCTATTAAAGCTGAAGTCTGCACAAAGAAGCACCGATGACATAAGAATGAAGAATTTACATCTCTTATTAGTAGGCAGAGATTTAGCAGTAATTTTTTCCAGATCCAATATCTTCAAGTCCTCAGTTTACCAGTAAGATTTTCTTGAAGAATGAATCTACACACAGATTTACCTTTAATCGCAATAAGATTCTGGCTCCTGAGTTTTCTCCTATGAACTTTTTTTTTTGACCAAAAATTATAGATATATCTCTGTGCAACACTCCTTACAGGAAAATTTCCATTGCTTGCCTGTTCAATACAGCTGTAATCTTTGTACTATATACATTATTTCAAACATTTAGAATTGAAACATTAGCTGTGATTAGTCCAGACATATATTCTGATGACCTCATACTTACAGATTTTCTTTGAGAGATAAGAACAAGCAAAATAGGATCTTAGATGACTTTTCCACAAAACATGAAAAGGTTGTGAATTCTCATACCTGTTGCTTTCTGCAAATTTTCTTTGTTCTTTATCTCTAGGGATGTTCGGGGGAAGCTATTTATACCAACCCCTTTTGGAGTATCTTCCATTGTGATAATGCCTTTTCAGAAAATGACTACAAAAAATTGATTCTGGTTGTATTACTTACTTCTTCCTATAAGTCAAGAAGCAGAGAGAGAGATGAGTGTTGGTCCTAAGCTTACTTTTCACCTTCAGTTCAGGACCCACAGTCTATAGAATGGAACTGCCCGAAATTAGAATTTTCTTACTTTGACTAACCTAATCAAGATACTCCTTCACAGATATGCCCACAGGTTTGTTTCCTAGGTCATGTCAAGAATATTGGCCATTACGTTGAGTATAGTATTTATTGTCGTTCTTATGATCATTTACTTTAATTCTGCTTTCTTCCATAACAATAGCACTCACATCTTGTCCAAAAAGGGAAATACCACTAAAGTTCAGGCATGAGATATTCTTTATTTTATTAATGAGAAATGCAAGTTGTCTTCTGTAGTTTATTACCATGACTAAAACTGTTGTTACGGAGCCTATTATAGGTCTAGTAGTATAAAACTGGCAAAGTCTACATCCATCCCATCAGACTTTGCATTTTCACAATCAAACTCTGGATTGTAAACTAGATCCTCCATGCCTTCCCAGAGTTTATCCTGATACTAAGTCATACAGAATGCAACTAGTAATGTGTGGTACAATGGAGATAGTGTAGTATAACCTATACCCCTTGACTTCCATTTTTTTTCAGATAAAATCTAGAGATGTTGTATTTCCTGTTTTGTACTACTGCTTCCACAATGGGGCCTTCAGATTGTGGATCTGGGTGGAAAGTAGAGGTGTCTTGACCATAGGACATATCCTGTGCCCAATAAAGGAAGGAAAACCATCAACAGGGTCTTTAAATTTTCACTGGTGGCAATTCGCAAAAGAAGATGCAATGAAGCCAAAAGCATTTTATAGGGTACACCATGAAGTTTTCTTTCACATGCTTTAGATTGTAATATAACCTTCTTTATGATAACTTTTCATCTGTTCCCTTCAAAAGACTGTGAAACTAGATTAGCTAGGGTCAATCGATTCTATTTTGTGATCATCTGTTCATAATTTACAATTAGATTTTTCTTTTTAAATTTTTCTTTATTTTTATTTTACGTGTATGCATTTTTTTTTGCCTGCATGTATATAAGTGCACCCATGTCTTGCCATACTTGTGGAGACCAGAAGAGGGTGTCGTGTCCTCTGGAACTGGACTTACAGCATGGTTGTGAGCCTCCAGGTGAGTTCTGGGAACCGAATCTAGGTCCTCCACAAGAGCAGCCAGTACTCTTAACCGCTGAGCCACCTATCCAGCCCCAATCAGACTTTTCTTTAATTGGGATACATTTCTTTCTTCAGAGGTGGAGATGTCCCAGGAAATTGAGCAGTTCTCCCTTGCTCCATAATGACGGAATCTAAAATTATGGTTCCTGGACCACCAAATAGGTATAACTCAGAACGTCAGTCACTTGTGTCTGGATAAAGGATGGCATCATACCAATGCTGTAAAGCCAAAGACAGCTCCATAGGTAAATCCTCTTTGATCTCAGAAGACAACAAAACTCCTGAGAGGCCAGAAATGAAGATGAAGTTGGGGTCTGACATTTTGGTGGTGAGTTAAATGTCTCTGACTCAGATCTTAATATTTGAATTATTTTGTTCATTTATCTGCTTCTTCAATGGGTTTTTTTTTAATAGAAGAAGGTTCAGAAACTATCCCTTGTGGGCTCTTGGCACAACTCCCAGGGGAGAAGCTGCTGTTTACAATGGGAAGAGGAGTCTTAGAGCTAAAACATATTTCTTGGCAATGAGTCTCAGAGAATGGCACTTTAAATTTAGGCATTCTATCACCAAGACATACACTAGGCTCTTCATCATCACTGTTGACCCAGTAAGGGTATTCAAGAATAGACCTGAATGTCATCTTCTCCATTTTCATCTGGGCTCAAATGCCTCAGACCCAGCTGGTGGGAAAGAGTCTGTCATCTCCTGATCTGGGTACCCATTCCTCCCCTGACCTTCCAGCACTGCTTCTGTTGTCCCCACACCACTGACTGCCACTGTCATGCTCTGTTGTTGCTTTTGAGTCAGGGTCTCACCTCTACAGCCTAGGCTGGCCCCAAGCTCACAATATTGCTGCTTCATCCTCTGGAATTCTGGTATTATAGGCATATACCACCATGTCTGGCTTTTAAATAATTTCTTATCTAGTTTTTGCCCATCTCATTGAAACATGATTAAGACATAGAGGTGAGGGAGACCTTAGGAGACAATGAGAGTACCTATTCTGTCGTCCATTGTTATAGGGGCTGAGAACTCAGCAGACCACCTGAGAGCACCTGGATTTGGCCTCCATACCCAACACTCTAACTGGGATTATGTGAGGCCCCTCCCATGGTCCCAGGGCAGGCCTCTGTCCTATGGTAGGATAAGGCTGAGACCTTAGCAGACAGGGTGAGAGTGCCTGTTCTGGCCTCCATCTAGTGTAGGGGCTGAGAACTCAACAGATTTCCTCAGAGTGCCCAAATCGGGCCTCCCCTTAGGGAACTTTCCAAATGGTGCTCTGAGCACCTGCTAGTAGGGGTCCAAACATTTGAAGGAAGCCTGAGTGTACCTGATGGGAGCCTGACTTGGGCTTCTGTAGCTGCTCTTGGGTAGCTGATATGAAGCCATCAGTTTCCTCCAAAATAAAATCTGAGAGAACCTGAAACATAGACCAACCAGGTTTATATAACCAGTAAGAAAATAACCAAGGCACACTAATGCTTTGAATATAAAAGAATACAAATATGAATTTAAGGTGTTGTTGGTATACATGAACAAGTTGTGTTATCATGAGAAGCAAGAAACAAAAGGGTCTATTGAGAGGAGGAGGAGGAAAGTTAATCACTATACTATGTGTAGGGGAAAGACAGAGGAGGAGAATATGGGGGTCAACAGAAAATGGGGAAGGGAGAAAGCTCTCCTTTACTATCCTGTAAAAACACACCATCTACATCAAAGGCTCCTCTAGGACTAGCTCTGCCTGCAACACATCCCATTTTGTATGAAACAGTTTACCCACCATCTCCTCTTGCCTCTGGCTACCCCTCTTCCAGGAAATCTCCAGCCTCCGAGCAAGGGGTTGAATGTTCCTTGTACAAGGCACATTCCTTTCATAGTCCACTATGGTTGTTCATTAACTTGTTGCTCATCCCACTGGTTTATGGATTCTAGCAAAATACCTTAGGGTTCTGTATCAAAAAAAACTGTGCTCATTTAAATTTGGACCAAAATGAGCACTTCATGAACTTATAGAAGGAGAAGATGAAAGATAATGTCCATAAAGAAAGAGACCCTCAGTTTCCATGTCTAGTATGTATGTCATGTGGTGATGCTGAGATCCAACAGGCTTGGGAATCTTGGGCCTTGTTATTTGCAGCATTCACTGTCTCTTTCTCTTTGGATGGCTCTACTTGTTGCCTGCAGGTTTCTGCAGATGTTCCATGTTCCTGGCATCTATAACGTCTTGGAGTCTATAACACACTTTAAGCTTCACAATCACGGCCTAACATATCAGCCACTCAGGGACTCCCTACAGAGAATCCAACCCTATTGCACATTGCTCTGGGATCACAGGCTTTCTAAAAAGTCTGGGTGCAAGCTCTTGATCATCCCAGAACTCTTGAATAATTCATGCTTGCAAAACTAACATCATACAAATGATGCCAAGTTCTGCTCAAAGCTCAAGAGGCAGTCAGATCCTCTTGGTCCATAACTGCAGTGGCCTCTGAGTGCATGGGTGACTGAACCTAGAGAAAACACTTCTACTAGCAACCCTGTTTGAGTACTGTAGCACTGCAGCTCAGTCTTTTAAAGGAAAGTCTATCAATTGCATTTGAAGTTTTTCACAGTGGAGCCTGTGATCATGAGGCACACATGCCCTCGTTCAAATTCTCTGTACTAGATCAATCAGTCTGTTAGGACATGAATGAAATAGATAAATTCTTGGTAAAAACCTAGCATGAGTGATCTCTGGCCCTATAAAGTCCTTGTTCACATCTGAAACTTCATAAGCACAGTCTTTCCTATCCATAATACTATTGGCATTCTGGCCTCCTGATCTCCCACCACAACCATACATTAAGTTATTCTTATAGCATTTAGAAGTTCTCTAGGCTGTTCCCCTCATGATGAACCAAGAAACCAAGAGCAAAATGGGAGCTGGAGGCTGGACTATAGCTTCTAAAGTCCTGCTCTTAGTGACCTTCAGCTCCCCAAAATACTATCACTTGCATCCAGGTTGTGGTATAATAGAAGAAGGCAGAGGTCAGAGGTCAAGTCTTAGAAGCTCAGCGCCAGCATCCTTGGCCCCAGTTCTCCCCATGAACGCTGTTGTCACGCCACCTCCAGTGGAGCCCATGTGAGGAACTCTCCGTGGGTCGAGGCTGAGAAAACTTCAAAGGAAGAATGCTTCCTGGAGAATGGCTGTGTTAAAAAAGCATGCCGTGTCCTTGGCTGTTCTGCTTTAGTTCTTGTCTTCATTGCTGTCTTTATTCCTGTTCTTTCCTCGTGGAGAAACTGCTTTGTACCTACTCAGGTCATTAGGCCCACCTGAAGAAAGACTAGATACAGATGATTTCCTGGGAACTCATTCACCCGATATTAGACTTCCTCCAAATGCTCCTCTCTTGTTTCAAGCAATAAGTAAAGTAGCTAAGAATAGGCAACCTTGGAAAATTCTAGATAAGTTACAGCAAAAATTATTATTTGTATATAATCCCCCTGCTTCAGTCCCTAGAGTTGACTCAAGGAGATCAAAGGAATACTAAAAGAAGATTGCTGCCTACAGTTAAGACAGACTTTGGAACTGCCTGCGAGCTAAGGGGGAGGTAGGCTATGGCATCCCCTTAAGGGAAAAGAGAGCATATTTAGAATCCCCGAGCCCATTGATGAACCACTTCCTCATACAAGAGTTTATGAAAGAAGTAATAGATGGGTAAATATTCAAGGAAGGAAAGTTTCATGGTATTCATTATAGTTTATGGATAGGTTAGCTAGATCCAGACCACCTTGGTGCCTTTACTACAAGTACAAGTCAGCATAGCAAAGTATACTTGAACAATTACAGGCAGTATAAGAAAAATGGAAAGAAAGAATAGGAAAACATGGATTAGAGAAACAAGCCTTTGAAGTTATATGGAATTATTATAAAAAAGATGCTATTTTACAACTTCACTGACCTAATTATTGGCCTTGGCCACCAAAACCTCAGAAGTAAGATAAAATTGAGAAAACGGAACCATTAAATTACCAACCATGAAATTTATAAGTAGCTGATGTTGCCAAACCACTAAGGGAAACCTCAGAAGTAAGATAAAATTGAGAAAACGGAACCATTAAATTATCAAACATGAAATTTATAAGTAGCTGATGTTGCCAAACCACTAAGGGAAAAGGACAAATAGTCTAAGCACCTGATTAATTAGATAAGAACACTGTACACTGTACTGTATTGCTTTGATTTTGAATTGTATTTGTAAGAAAATAATTAACCATGAAATAAACCTGATGCTTGCACAATCTTGTTCTGTAACTTGTATAAAATCTGATGCTCCAATTTAGAAAATTACATTCAGATCATCAACCATCTCTTGTGTTGTGTCTGTCACTCGCCGAATCCTTGCCCACTCTCCGATTCCTTGTTCCCATTGGACTGAGTGCTCTGGTCTGGGCTGGTCTGTCACACCTTGTGGGGCTGGGCAGTGTGGGAATGGACAAAGGCAGACTTTCCTGGTGTACCTACAAAAGGAGCTGCCAGCAGAGAGAACTATGGAAGGAGAAGATGAAGACAAAAAGAAGATAGGCTCCTCTTGTTTCACAAGCACGTTCCCAAAGTTGCAGTGAAATTCCTGAAAGGCTGCTTCATTTTCCCCTAGCGTTAAGGAAATCTCCTCCTCTCCATGTTTCCTCACCTACAAAATCAAGCTTCGGGCTCTTTCTAAGGGTTGTGGAAATGCTATTGGGCAGCTATAAAGATGTTTTATGTGCTCTGCCTCCTCCAAATTTGTGCAGCTCATCTTCCGCAGCTTCTTCATTTAAATATTTGCTTATTGTGTGAAGGCACAGAAATGTAATGACATGGTTTTCTATTCCTCCTGACACCCATCTGTAAGGAACATCAAATCTCCCTAAGGACTGCGAAGGGTCAGAGCGTGGAACAAAGAGAAGTCATCAAGGGCCAGTCCTTTCCCTGATGTGACTGCCCTTCACCACTGGTGGACTGAACATTGACTTCAACAGGACCTCCTGGCATTCTTGCATTGAGTTCTAGGTGTTTCCAGATGGCTTTGAGACTTCTTAGCCGCCACTAGACATGAGGGACAGCCAGCTGATATCACATGTGCCAAGGAGGAAACAGACACCCAGAAAACCCAGAGCCTCACTTGCCATTTATACAGAACTCTTCACTGCTTTTTCCCCAGCAGAACTTCCCCCCTCAGAGGGAAGAAACAGTTCCTCCTTCCTTCCTCTGGCCTCAGCAAAGTGAAAGTAATAATTTTCTGTTCCCTTTTGCCTCTGCCCCAGAAGGTAGAAGTCTAAGAGACAAAGCCTACAGGCACAGCCACTGTCCCTTCTCTCCTAGTTTCCTAGAAGCTGATACCAGATTTTAGGACATCTCTCTGGAGCCCCTCAATTACAGCACTGGGCCCAGCCAACCTTTCTTTTTCAGAGCCCTGATCTTCAAAGATCCCTCATATCATGATATCATGTGTTCTCCCCACACCTCACACTTGTATCTTCCATTACATAGACTGCGCAGATGAAGCCAAGATCAAGTCTCCATACAGTACTGAGCCTAGGCTACAACAACACTGAACAGCGTCCCACTCAGGCCAGCAACCCCAGGGCTCTGAAGTTGTGTCCATGATTCTCATTGTATCTACTGACTTCAATTCCGACAGTAGTACAATCTCCCCACACCTCACACTTGTATCTTCCATTACATAGACTGCGCAGATGAAGCCAAGATCAAGTCTCCATACAGTACTGAGCCTAGGCTACAACAACACTGAACAGCGTCCCACTCAGGCCAGCAACCCCAGGGCTCTGAAGTTGTGTCCATGATTCTCATTGTATCTACTGACTTCAATTCCGACAGTAGTACAATCTCGTCTGAATCCTTGATGAGATTCTTCCATGGGTTTTTCTTTGA